AGGAATGCCACACTGCCATTTTCCCGCTGCTCCTCCGCACCCAGAGCTCCCCTGTGCCTCTGTGGAAAAGATAATCCAGCCTCTCCAGGGATACCAATTTCCATGGAGAACCACAGAGCTCCATAACCCAAAACACCTTGTGGGTCCCACAGAAACAAGAGTTACGTTTGGTATATGAAAAGAGCCAGTTTGGTGTAGTGGTTAGGAGCGTGGACTCTAATCTGGGAGAACCCGGTTTGATTCCCCACTCCTCCACATGCACCTGCCAGTGTGACCTTGGGTCAGTCACAGGTTCTTTCACAGCTGTTCTCTCACGAGCAGTCCTAGAAAGAGCTCTCGCAGACTCTCTGTAAGACGCTCTGAGACTCTCTGTAAGACGCTCTGAGACTCCGAGGGAAGGGCGAGGTATAAATCCAATCTCTACTTCCTGGCCAAATTGGTTGTCTCTTCTCTCTCTTAAATAGTTTTAGTTGTTTTAAAACTCGTATGATACAAAATGGCTTACGCTACTGTAATTATTTGCTCCCAAAACACCTTGTGGGTCCCACAGAAACAAGAGTTACGTTTGGTATATGAAAAGAGCCAGTTTGGTGTAGTGGTTAGGAGCGTGGACTCTAATCTGGGAGAACCCGGTTTGATTCCCCACTCCTCCACATGCACCTGCCAGTGTGACCTTGGGTCACTCACAAGTTCTTTCACAGCTGTTCTCTCATGAGCGGTCCTCAAAAGAGCTCTCGCAGCCCTGCCTACCTCACCGGGTGTCTGTTGAGGGGAGGGGAAGGGAAAGGAATTTGTAAGACGCTCTGAGACTCCGAGGGAAGGGTGAGGTATAATTCCAGTCTCTACTTCCTGGCCAAATTGGTTGTCTCTTCTCTCTCTTAAATAGTTTTAGTTATTTTAAAACTCGTATGATACAAAATGGTTTAGGCTACTGTAATTATTTCATGTTTTGGTGTGTGTGTGTGTCTTTAAATGTTTCGCTTGACTGCAGTAATGTAAGGAGAGTGATAGAGGGAGATGAGTGTGATGTGATTGGCTGGGAGGAGAGATGTCTATGAGGTGATTCTGTGTTTGTAGAGAGACGAGTGTGGGGAGTCTGTATGATAGAGGAAGCATATAGCCTGTGTGTCTATATGAGCGAGTCTAGCCTGTGTGGCTATATGAGCAAGAGAGTTGCCTATGTGGCTATATGAGCAAGAGAATTCAGCCTGTGTGGCTATATATGAGAGAGATAAACCTGTCAGAGTTGAGTTTTGGTGTTTGAGAGACTGTGTGTGACGCCAAGCTTTGCCAGTTATATTTACAAGTTCATTTCTTCAACAACGGTTCAAAAATACCCAGAAACCTATTTTGTTCTTTTATAAATAAATCATTATTTGTTTAAACTTATCCCAGAAATCAGAACAGTTTTTCCTCAGGGCCACAGTGTCTCTGAAATAGAGAGATTTGGAATTTTTAATTCCTGGTGGCAGCAGAAATCTACCAAGTTCATGTACACAGAGTGTGTTTTAAAAGAGAAATGGTCTCCCCGATAAGCGAGGATATCACAGGTACATTTAAAGAATGCCATTTAATTCTTATCAATGTGGAATGATTACTCCAGAAATTAATAAAAAAACAAGACTTCTCACTGAGGTGAACTGAACAGATTTTGTTTGTCAGTTTATCAACCTCGCCCCAGCCAAAAGCGTAAAAGCAGAAGCGACCGCCGTGCTTCTCCTGAAATGTAGAATCCCAGCTGTTGGGGCCAGTGATTCCTTTTTCTTTTGGTCCTGGGGGGGGGGGGGTCAACAGTGGGAGGGCTTCTAGTGTCCTGGCCCCACTGGTGAACCCCATGATGGCACTGGTATTTCTGGCCACTGTGTGACACAGAGTGTTGGGCTGGATGGGCCTGTGGCCTGATCCAACACTGGCGTCTCTTATGTTCTTATGAGTGAAGGGTCTCAGGTTCTTAGAGGAAGGTGATGGTGCAAAGTCCTGTCAGGCCTCATCTGAGTTAATGACAAACTCTTGCAGGCCTGTAGAAATGGCGGGGCGTTTCAGGGCTCTGCCCCCTCAAATGTGAGACACGCCCCACAAGAGCTGCTGCCCCTCTCGCCCCTCACAACATGGCTTGCCAATCAGCTGGATGGCCTATTAAATCTCGCAGAGAGCGAAAACGCCGCTTGGAGCAGGAGAGAGAAAATGCCGCTTGGAGTTCAGGGAAGTCATGCGGCCTAAACTCTCCCCCACAAAATGTCCCCATGCCCCACTGACCCAAAATTTCTGACTATGGGGTTGACCTCTTGAAATTCTCAACGCAAGAAACGTTCAGAGGCCTCTGCATAGCGACCCTGGACTTCCTTGGTGGTCTCCCATCCAGATGCTAACCAGGGTCGACCCTGCTTAGCTTCCGAGGTCTCACGAGATCGGGCCAGCCTGGGCCACCAAAGTCAAGGCTTGCAGGAAGGACAAGACAAAAGCAAAGAAAGGAAAGGTCCACTTCTGTGGTCCCAACTATCGGTTACCGGCATTTGGCTGGATCAAAAGAAGCGCTTACCTTGACGGAAAAAATAACTCCCCCTTTTGGTACAAAAGAATTCAGTAGGGCCAAGAGGTCCTTCGCCTTCAGCCGGTCCCAGTCCATGTTGCAAACGGCCAACCTGCGTGTGACCTGCGAGGGAGAGAAGGAACCGAGTCTTCAGTTTGCCAGCGTCACCAGACAGGGCCTAAGCTTGAGGATCAGACAAGTGTTGTAATTGGGGGGGGGGGGCAGAATTCAGTTGAAAACTTAGACCGATTCAGGGAGGAGAGGTCTATCAGCGACTTCTAGCCATGGTGACTAAGGGGGACCTCCACATTCAGAGGCACTGATCCTCCAGGCTTACTAAGTACTTACCGTGATTCAGCGGGGGACACATACTTCTTCCCAGGACCATTCCCGTGCAGACAACAGACGCGCCGCACCATGCTGTCGCCAGGAAGTGACGCCGGGCAACGCTCTGGCAACGGGGCTGGAAACTTGATGGTACCACTGAGTTTTCAGCCCCATTGTCAGAGCGTCACCCAGCGTTACTTCCCGGCGACGGCATGGTGTGTTACAGGGAGGAATGTTCCGGCCGGGGAGCATGTGTCAATGGTGCGACCTCATTTGGATGTAGGTACTTGGGAACCCTATAAGCCTCTGAATCCCAGAGCCATGAGGAAACATCAGGGGAAGGCCTTGGCCTTTATGCCCTGTTGTTGGCCCTTCAGAGGAACTTCTTGGCCCCTGTGTGAGGCAGGAGGCTGGACTAGATGGACCTTCACTGGTCTGATCCGGCAGGGCTATTTATATGTTCTCATAGACAGATTCATGGAGGATACGTCTATCAATGGCTACTAGCCATTGTGAATGAGGGGAACCTCCACATGCATAGGGAATAATCCTCTGAATCTTAGAGCCAGGAGACAACATCAGGGGAAGGCCTCGGCCTCTCTACCCTCTTGTTAGCCGTCCAGAGGAACTGGCTGGCCACTGTGTGAGACAGGATGGCTGAACTAGATGGACTCTCACTGGTCTGATCCAGCAGGGCTCTTCTTATGTTCTTCTAAAGGCCTCGGCCTCTCTGCCCTGTTGTTGGCCCTCCAGAGGAACAAGTTGGCCACTGTGTGAGACAGGAGGCTGCACTAGAGGGACCCTCACTGGTCCGATCCAGCAGGGTTCTTTTTATGGTCTGAGACATCTGCACAACCAAAAACAGACTGGGGCATTCGCAGCTGGATCAGAGCACAACCTTCAAAGCTTTCTGCTCCAGAGAAGGGCCAGAAACCAGGATCACCCCGTTCTCCCTCTGTGAACAGTTCCATATACCTGAGGACGTATGTTTTCCCCAGGCGCACACACACACAGAGACACAACATGAACCCAACACAGTTCTGCAACTCGCATCCATTCCAGGAGGCAGAGCTCAGAAGAACATCTGCAGACTGTTAGGCCCCAATACTGCCAGGAAGGAGAAAAGGAGAAAGTGGGCAAGGGCGTGATGCGGCACGTTCACTTTCAGCCTGGCTTACGGCAAGGAACAAAGCCCACCTGCGATTCCTGATCAGCTTTGGACGCAAGCAGCCGTATTGCTGTCAGTGGCCGGGCGTCATAAGAACCTCAGAAGAGCACTGCTGGATCAGATGAACAGCCCATCCAGTCCAGCATCCTGTCTCACATGGCAGCCAACCACTTCCTCTGGAGGGCCAGCAACAGGGCAGGGAGGCCGAGGCCTTCCTCTGATAAGAACCTTAGAAGAGCCCTGCTGGGTCAGACCAGTGAGGGTCCATCTAGTCCAGCATCCTGTCTCTCACAGTGGCCAACCAGTTCCTCTGGAGGGCCAACAACAGGGCATAGAGGCCGAGGCCTTCCCCTGAGGTTGCCTCCTGGCTCTGGGATTCAAAGGATTAGTGCTTCTGAATGTGGAGGTTCCCCTCAGTCACTGTGGGTATTCAAGAGCATTTTAAAAAACAAAACAAAAAGCGGCCAACGTTTACAAGCACAACACAAGAGATCCTTCAAAACAGTCAAAGCAATTTAAGGACTCTTGCACAGTCACATTTTTTAAAATTACAATATATGAATATCATAAGCACAAATCCGTTCAAATTATACAGCCCGATTACACCACACAGTGTCAAATGCATAAATGTATGAAATCAATCACTTATTAACCGCACGATCAAATGAAGCTGCCTTCTACAGAATCAGACTCTTGGTCCATCGAGGTCAGTGTT